CAGGCACCGGACAGGCCCGAGACAAGGGCTGGCACCACACAGCCAGGACCACAACCATTCTTTGCAGCAATAAATTTGCTCCAGCTGTTGCTGTTGGACCCTACCCTTACCTTACTTCCATGTAAAGCTCCGCTCAATCTTTTGCAGGAAGATCGTAGCCATTTCCCACATTCCTGTATTCCCTTCCCAAAGTTACATCCTGACACTATGCAGAGACAGCTGGGAATATGCTTAATACAGGGGACTACAGATATATTCCTGGACCTGAAGTTCAGTTGTGCTGAAGGAAGCGTGTAGCAAGAACGTAGTTACTACCCTTATGGCCAAGAAGCTGGCAGGGAGAAACAAGTAATGGCAGATCTTTGGCATTGTCATTTGACATGAAAATCAGCAGTGTAACTTTAATGTTAAATCCCTCCTCACTGCCCAGCAAGTAGCAGGCAGGGAGCAAGTGCTTAGTGTTTCATCTGAGACATAGTGTGTCCTGGGGTAGTATCACTCACCACTTTTTTTCCAGAAAAACTCCTAAAATCACAGTCTAGTCCGTAACTCCCATTCCTCAGGGTAATTGATATAGATGATTGCTGGAGTAAAGCACCACCCTGAACTGCTTTTAAAGAAATGAAAGGAGGCACAACACTGGGACTACTTTGGGTGTGCACTGGTTGCACTGTGGGGCATGTACTTTCTTCATTCTGAGAAGACTTCAGAAACCCTAGAAACGTTAGAAAGCTTAGTTTTATTGCTAACAATGCCATGACAGTCAAAGCTTCTCTAGAAGGGAACATTTTGTTATTTAAAGAGTCCTGTGTCTTTCACCTTAGTCTCTACCTGGAACCACAGTATTACCAACAGCATGATGTTTAATACCAAGCAGCTCAAACCAAGTCTCCATGATTGAAATTACCATTTTTAATACAACATTTTTTCATCTTGTAATTGAAGTCAAAACGTATTATGAAAAAGTCTTTCAGATTATTAAGATTTCATGCAAAAGCACACAGGAAATTATTTGATTTTGTCTGTCTAGTAAAAAGTGCTAGAAATATACGTTCAGTGTCATAGTAGTAGTTGGCCTATTGAAGCAGTGTGTTCATGTTTCTGTTAGATGTGTTCACACCCTTGTTTCTAATACAATTGGTATGAGATATCAAAGGACAATACAGCATCAATTTAAGTATGTATAAATTTTTTGTGCCACATTCAGATGATGAGAATAAAAACTAATAAGAAAGAAGGGAAAATAGAACAAGTCCAGAATTGGAAACCATACAGGAAAAGAAATTAACTGGATTAATTCTAATAAATGGCTGAAAACTATGAGCACTGAATAAAGGGCATCTGAATGACGGATATGTGAATACTGAATAAAAGGCATGAAGAATATTGAGAAACACTGAATGAATACATCACCGTGAAAGAAGCTGCTTGAAAGTCTTCAATCATTCCAATTTGATAAATACAGCACAAATCAATATTAGTTCAAGTTGTGCCCAGTCCTCAGTCACATATCAGCAATTCTGCACCTTATTTACCATGGTGTAAAAATATAGACATTTTTCGGTTCTTTGGCTTGGGACAAGAGTTGCTTCTTCCTTCATCTTAGACACATTATTTGTTGAAGGAGAAAAATTGTTCATCGGCATTAAAATATAAGTCTTCTACTTTATGCCGAGGAAGCTTTTCTGCTTGCATCATTACCATATTGATGTCCTTACAATTTTTTGTTGGCAGAAGCGCTACATGCTAACAGCAACATCCTATTAAAATGGAAGACATGGTAAAATCGTGCACAGCATAGGCTGACAGGAAAGCCCTTTCAAAACAGCTGCGTTAGCAGTGGAGCAATTTCATCTTTAAATTATGTACATCTCAGTTGTATCATTATAATCTCTGTAGAACATTGTTAAGAATATTTTACGACAATGGCACTAACTGATGCTGCATTGCAAGGCTGAACCAGCACTAACAAAGGTCAAGAACAGTAGGGGAGTCTCTTCCACCCACACCAAGCTGTAGCTCACAGACTGAAGCACATTGTTTGTGATTTCCAGAGGGACACCCTGAATTCTGAATTTTTGAAAGTTGTCTTTACTTGTGCTTGCAGGGCAAATATCATGGTAATCCCATGCATATAGCAGTGATCATCTCAAACTGTTTAAGAGAAGAAAGAAGAATACTGGCTGCAGCTAGCATGCCTGTACAGGTAACGAATCACATTTCATTGATCTGCTCCATGTTAATCTGCTGACATGCTTTTAGGACCAAATCCTGTCCTCTCATTGCACTAGAGTGATTTGTATGCACTGGGGATTGCCAAACATTGCCCTTTAAACTCATGTTTGTACTTCATTAGTGGCTCTGCTGCTGCAAACATTGCTATAAGTGACTTCTATGTCACAGCTAATCTTCAAAGACTTTAATCTGTGGGAAAGGCTTTAAAGAGATTGTTCTTTGCAAAACAGATGTGTATATTTTAAATTATGCAATGCATTAGTTCATATTAATTATGCAATGCAAAAGACTTTCCACCTGATATGTTGCAAAGGCATTGATTTTATGTTGTTTGAAGGAAGAAACTTTAAAATTACATATAAAACCTATTTTGGGGAAATTGTTACATGGTTAAAACCCAGACAGAATTTTTAAGTCAAATGTGTTCTTTTTAATCACTTGTGGATGTAATACATATACTTATACGAGTATTGTGGTCTTTTTCAGAAATCTAATAATCCTTGTTTCAGTTTCTTTAATTTCCCAGATGTTTTACATTTGCGGTATACCCACACCCTTTCACCTTTTGGTTATTAAAGTACCATGTTTTTCAAATCTGTGGAACTAAACAGATTTATCTGTTTACACTAGTCTCCAGCTGGTTGAAGACCAGCTTCTGAACTCCCTCTCTGTGATAGAACTTGCAGTACAGTTACTATCACTCATTATTATTACTCATCCACCCATTATCCGTTCAATGTGTTCCAGGGGCCACTGGAAAAGTCTCTGCAGAACTCTGTGGTTTCAGAACGACAAAGAAACGTAGAACACAAGGTGTCAGCCATCAAGAATAGTGCTCAGGTATTTTTTTGTCCTGTTTGCTGTCTACACAGACATGATTTCCATATAGACATACCTGAACTATCTTTAAGTTGGGTAGCACAAATAGTTTTGCTAACAAGCTGCACCAACCCTTTTCCATTATTCGGAGGACCTAAGCCCAGACTAACTATAGAGGACATACCTGGATCCTCAGGTTTTTACAGCTGCTCTGGGTTCAGTGCAAGAGCTACCTGTTTTAAAGGTAACTCATCTCTGTACAAGTTGAAGGCAGACCACTGAGTGCAGTAAGAACATACCTACTATCTTCTAAAAAGATGTGAGGTTCAATAAATATATTTCTGCAACTTCGCCTCTTTTAGCTGGGTCAGCAGTACCTAGCCTTTGTGACCTGCAACTCACATACCAAGATCTTCGTAAAGCTGAAGGCTACGTGACATAATTACGCGTTTTGGAGGTGTGAGAGGAGAAGAACATTGCCAGCTGATGGTAACAATTCTCCGGGAGCTTCCCATACCATTGCAGGGCAGAGCTGGGCTGAGCCAAACTTGCAGCTATGTCCCATAGAGACCTTGAAAGCTCAGTCAGAGAATACCTGCCTGTTCAGTTCAAGGCAGGATAAGGATTCAGATTACCTACAGCCTTTTTGCTATTCCAGCCCCACTTTCAGCTTTGCAGAGGTCTCAATGTAGAAGTTACATATTCAATACCTGTCCATATGCTGTTCAGGAACAACACACTTCTGGTATACTGGAAAGAGGTCCTAGTAGCATTCTCTCATCAGTGTCTCCCTACACAGGGAAGAAGGGTTAGAGAGATGAAACCCTTAAAAGGATAAAGCTAGCTTTAGAAGAATGTGATACTAGATCTCTATCTATGTATAAAGTTATAAGAGTTGCAGAGCAAAAGCAACATACCATGCTGCTCCTTCTGCCTGTGTGGGGAAGTGCAGCCATCCCTGAAAGACCAGGGAAAATGAGAAAGATTTCTAGATACAAGGCTGTTTTTGTAAGTAATTAAGTTGAACACAGAAATCAGCCAGCTGATTGTGTATGTAATTTCATACTTTACACATATAATTTAAAAATTTAGTCTCCAAAATAGAGGAAATAAAATTCCGTGTATCCTAATTTAGCAAACTAGTTTTTTGTATTTTCACAGACACTTATCACGCATATCTCGGGGAACTAAAAAGTATTGTTTATGAGTTGTTGGCAGAATCAAGGCGTCCTATAAACAGCACACAAACAGACCTTCGAAGTAAACCAGATTATTTTTTTTACAGTTTCATTTTCTTTCTTTTGATGTGTCTTTTTTTGAATTACCATTGTTTGGTTACTAGAAAACACCTTCTAAACTTTTTGCAGTACATACGAAAACAAACCCTTGCAAAAAGCCAAAGCAGCAATAGCGTTTCATTTCTTTACCCAAAGTCTTAAGTAATTCTCTAAATAAAGTCTCTGAACTCTGCTCCTGTCTCTAGCTCCACCTTTCTTGGCTTTGCACACCCCATTCCAATTTCCATTGAAGTCAATGCAAAATTATCCATTTGCCCTGCTTTAAAGTTCCAAGGAGAGAGTTACATTATTGGCATAATAATTTCAATTTATCTCAGGATAAATGTAATCATTCCTACTTTCCACTGTATCATTGAACTTGTAAACAAGAAATGGTTAATCTGTATCAATGACTGTTTGACCGTGGGAGAGAGAATAATGGCTTTCTGAAGAAGTAAAATGAATCTGTAGTTATAAATGTGCATTTATAATTCAATCGTCTTTTTTAAAGTTTACAAGATAGGAAACCAGAGTTCCCAGGACAACTTAGGGATTTTCAAATGGTAGGCAAGGAAAATACTACATTATGCATTTGTCTATTACAAAACAAATTCCTTTTTACATCACTGTGAACACACAAATAATTTTACTTTCTTTTTCCCGGGAAAGATGACTGACCAAGATGTCAAATACTTGGAAGACTTGCAAGAGGAATTTGACTTCAGGTACAAAACAATACAAAGCTTAGGTAAGAGTTTTTATAATCATTTTTAGATTCTCTAGGAAATGGCTGATTCTGCAGCTAGGCCCCAGTATCAGGGGGTTTTGTGCATTACCCAGATAATACATGGAAACATAAAAACAGATTTTTAGTGTAGATAAAGCTAAAGTTTATCATAAAGCTTTAGTTTATGTCTTAGAACATAATGCCTCTTTTGGAGTTAAGAGGATCTTGTCAAGCAAGTATAGTTATTTTCTATAGATAAGCTGCATAATGGCATGAAAAGTGGTAATTTTCTTAATTTAAAGAACCTATTTTTCAATTTCATTGACTTTGGCATGGCCCTTCCTTGGCAGAATGGGGAAGAGCCTCTTATTTCCCAGAGTAGATTTGTGCAAAACTGATTTTTTTAGCCTCTAACTTGGCTTTTTGTTCTTTTCTGACCACAGTGGTGATAACCAGATGGTAAGCACTCTGAATGCATGTTTGACCAGCCTGTGGTGGTTGACATCTGCACACAGCAACAGTCCTTGCATGATCTCTTTCAGAAAAGAAACTGAGGTCCACTTGTGTCTGCTCAGATAACTCCACATTATCTCCCTTTGAACATGCAAAGATACTGGGCTTAAAACGTCCAAGTTCTTAAACATGTCAACCCTGTATGTTTAAGGCTGGATTTGGCGGGGCAATCTGAAGAGATCAAGTTGCCATGGTTTAATGAGTTGTTAGTCATCAGGCCAATCATAATTATTGAGCATGCACATGATTGAAGCCTGCCCCACTTGCAAAATAAAACATGCTTACATAAATGACTTTCAGGGCTTAAAATTTTGCTGCAATTTATTGACGCAAATAAATGCCCTACACCGGCACAGCCAGCTTGAAGTACCTTACAATATGTGTAAGCAATTGCTGTGGCTGAGCTGACCATCAGTTACTTGTCTAACTCTGTTGAAACATCTACCCTAACATAACAGGAAGATGTCAATCCAGAGCTTAGCAGAGACACAGACGGCACCAATTTCTTTTTTGAAGGTAGCATGAAAGATGCAAGAAGAGCAAAAGGTGGGGGAAGGTGAGGGCGGGGGAAGAGCTGCATATGAAAGCACACGGGGCAAGCTTGGGGAAGCTTGGAACTAATGTATGATCCAGAGAAGGAAAAAGTTACGGAGAGGGGGAAATACCCAGTGATCAGTACTCCCGGCTGCTGAAATCCCCACTGCAATGAACACTTTCTCTCTTTTTCAAATGCGTAACCTCCGTTCTCTGAGCCACACGTGTAATTCTCATCAGGCCCAAAGAACTTTAGTCTAACTACTAACACCACAAATATACTTCAGATTACACACTACTGTACAGATCAATCATTGATCCAAGCCAGATGTACATAATACACATGAGAATGCACATGAATAAGAAATTATAGAGTTCTAGGTATCATCTGTATGTTTTCTACCTTTTCCTGTTCCACGTATACATCTAAAGAAAGGAGTCATAAAACCTGATCTTAAACTTGTACTAAAGTTAGTCCATTCCAATGAAATACACTATTACATAATCTACTGATGTCTGCAGTTTATTTTTTTCACTAGTTCATGCTGCAGTCTGGTCGTGGTTTTTTCCCCTCCTCCCCTTAGAAACATGCACATGCACCCACACATGCATTTATACCGATTTTTTTCACCCCCTGCAGAGCAGAGCGACAAAAACAGTGCTCTCATTAAACAGGAAATGTTGGCATTGCAAGCGATGCTCAATACTTTAGACTACAAGAGAAAGGTTAGTGACATGTTTTATCATTTGTGGTTCGTTTGCCTTCTCCCCTTATTCCCACACCACATACTCAAATGCATATGCGTGCCTTTTTAAATTCTCCTCTCAGAAGAACAGGCAAATAATGTAAGAGTTAATCCACAAAAGGTTTGGGTGGGTATGGGGGATTTTGACTAGCAGTTAAGAAATTGGCAATTAAGTAAAGCTCAATCAAGGATACGGTTCTACATACCTTAGAAGCGAGGCAAGGGCAACACTTAACAGGACCTCTTACATACTGTGCTAAATTAATAACTTAGCTGGCAAGCTGTAGCTTTTAAAGTAAATAAAAAGTGTTCAAAATAAATGTAATCTAAAAACTGCAAAGAAAATAAAACAAATGAACAAAAAACCCAACCACACACCAATGGTACCTTGCTCTGTTCAGCAACCAAGACTTGCAAATATGACAAATATTCCCCTGACCACTTCTTTGCTGGCACAGAAAACAGTACATTTAGGCAATTTGTTTGAGTCCATGTACTTTTTATGGTTAAAGGCAAGCAAGCAAAAAAACAATGCACTGGATATGAAGCAAAACAAAAGGAGAACATTTTGGCCTTGATAGTGCTTGCAAGAGTCAACTTCTTGGAGGTGCTATGCCCACAAAGAATGCAACAATCCTCCCTCCCGCCCCCCAAAAAGAAAAGAAGTTTTACTGAGGAAGAGTTTGTAGAGATTCAGATTAATTTCAAGTACAACGGGTGATGAATCCAGTCACCTCTGTGTTAAAGAGACTGAAGTGGTAGGGACTAAATACGGTTACTTTCAGAATAATTGAAAAAAATGTAATCAGCACTTTATGACAATTGCTGAATTTTGTGGCCGTTCCCTGTGGTCAGTTTGCGATACCTTTCCTATTTTACAGGAAGTTCTCAGTAAAATAGGGCGCGTGATTCATGAAATCGATATGCTTATGAGCAATATGCTGACTGAAGAGCTGCTGGACTGGAAGAGACGGCAGCAGATTGCCTGCATTGGAGGTCCTCTCCACGGTGGGCTTGATCAGCTCCAGAACTGGTAAACTTGCCTTGAGCTTGTGTTTCCACTGAAAACCACAGGAAGTCTGCTGCACACGAAATAATCATTCCTTTAGATCAGTTGCGTTGCTACCTTGCAACAGCTGCAAATTCATTGGCAGCTAAGCAAGTAAATAACTAGAAATTCAATTTGGTTTTGTGGACAACATTTGCTATTGAGAATTAGTAACATTACAGTGAACTGTTGAGCCTGAGCTGTGGCAGTCACTCATTTTTTTGGTTTGACAGTTGTTCCAGATACGTGATACATACCCTCTCTGGAGTTTTGCTTGAGTAAGAACTGTGCTGACTGAGTTTGTCACTGAGGACAGTGGGAGTTTTGTCTAGGCAGGAGCTAGGTAGACACTTTATGCTTTGACTCACTAGGTACATCACTCCTCCAGACTTCAAACTACACGGGAATTGAATGGCAGTAGTCTCTGTGATGGCAACTCTGAAGTTGCAAATAAAAAGAAAATAGCATTATATTTAAAAAGATAATTCAGCCAGAGAACATCAAATCCTGGCCGCTTCTCTCCCATCAAACTTCTCTTCTGGAAAAGGTGAAGTAAAAAGTAAGAAGAAAAAAGGAAGGACAACAACCAAGAACCTTTTTAAGTTTGAAGAAAAAAGTATTTTTTACCTTTTTTGTATAGAGTTTTTTTCCCCACTGAAGGTTTGGGTTTTTTTTTTTCAATGAAGGTGTTAAAAATAGCTTTGAAAATGTGATTTTATACACACATACCCCATATTAAACTGTTAGCAAGTGTGTTTGGATTTGATTTTCTTTATTGTTTTTACACTTCCTCGGTCTTGGTCTTGGTAACTTGCTCATTTTAAGCAAATGTTATCTTTTTAAAGAGTACATTTTGCAAAACTACTGAGCTGTAGGAAAGAATTAAAATTGGCACAAGTGCCCTGCATGCAAAACATCTGGAACATGTCTGTATTTCTTCCAAACTATCACAGACAGCATTGCGTTGCTGTTGGTGAGGCCTGTTGCATAAATATTTATCTTTGAAAATAAAGTAGGTAATTTGCCTGATACATTTATATACATATATATATATATATATATAAACAGAAGATGAACAGACGTGAGTTTGGATAAAGCTAGAAAGCACCAATGGTTCCGATTTCCCTAAGCAAGAACTTCAGTAGCCATTATGTTCTAAGAAATTGTTTATGTGAAAGAATGCAAACTAATTGTTTCTCTTGCTGTAGTTTTACTCTGCTGGCAGAGAGTCTCTTTCAAGTTAGAAGGCAACTAGAAAAACTAGACGAACTGTTGACCAGACTGACTTACGATGGGGACCCTATCCCAGTGCAAAGACCTCAGCTGCTGGAAAAAGTCAACTTTCTGCTCTACAATCTTTTCCGGAAGTGCGTAAGCCATTGTCAGTTACATAACTTTACCTGAACTGACACAAATTTATTGGCAGCCATGTGACCATATTGTTAAGAAACAAACAAACAAAACCACACAAACAGTTTGAGTCTCTGAGGATCTTAAAGACCAACTTTCCAATATAAAAAGTATGTACAGCTGTCATCAAAACTTCTAGAAGCTGAAGGTGCCAGGCAGCTTCTTGTGTGTAGCAGTTAAGGGTTTGTGATCAAGTTCTGACTCTAACACTGTGAACACACAAAATGATTTAAGGATTTATGGTATGTCCTGCTGATAAAAGTTGTGAGTTGGTTGGGGTTTTTTTTTTAAGTAAAGTAGCAAGTGCTAATTAGTTCCTAGTCTTTCCTCTTCCCCACCAAGACATTCTTCCCCCAACACCCCCCGCCCCTGCCAATTCACCCTTCTATTAATAGACAAAATATTCTCATCATTCTTCTTGCCTTTGGTACTGGCTATACTAGAGATATACCACAAGTGGCTATCTGAATGCAAAACATGGTCAATTTTTTTTTGTAAAAAATAGAAAAAGATAAAATGATTGTTTAATTTTATTGGAGCCAGGCTTAGTGTATTTTCATACTGTTTTATGGGTTTGATAAGTCTTGGTCTTCCAGACTTTTATCAGCCTGCTATTTTAGGACTATGTTTGTTTTGTTTTGATTTTTAATGTATTCCAAATATCTGTTTCTTACGGGAACAATTCAACTGTAAGTTAGACCACTGGATCATTTTGAGAACTGAGGGTTGGAATACATACCTCCCACTTCAGCATCTGTGAAGAAATAAGTCTCTAAAAGATACCAGCACTTCCCCCTCAGTACAGCTGCTTGTTTATGCATATTCCTAACAATCTGTTTGTTTCACTTCTTTTCATACAGTTCGTTCGTGGTTGAAAGGCAGCCCTGCATGCCAACACATCCCCAGAGGCCAATGGTTCTTAAAACGTTAATACAGTTCACTGTTAAGTTAAGGTAAGGAAAAGAAGTCTGATACAAACTCCTTCATTTGCATGCTGCATTTTAGCCTAGGAAAATCTAGAAAGCAAAGAGGACCGAATTTCTGGAATGGGGATATAAAGGCCACAGAATCTATCACTCGTAATAATAAATGGCAATAAAGAGTAAATCAGCGTGAGGAAGAAAGGCAGATTGTGGCCAAAAGTCAGCACCTTCAGGGTTCTGTATGCATTGAATTCATGTTTTAAGGACTTTGCAAACTGAGTAACTAATGATCCACATCATACAAGCCAACATCAGAATACTCAGAGCCACTTTTGCACATAGGAAAGAAAAACTTCTGC